GGGGGGGAGGTGTAGGCCATGGAGGGGTCACGGGAGTCCAGGGAGGAGACGTAGGGGTCCCCGGGGGCGAGGCTGAGGGTGGGGAAGGCGGCGGTGACGGGATCGGGGGAGGAGGACCGGACGGGAGAGGAGGGGACCACGCTGGCAATGGAGGAGAGGGTAAGTCCCCCGAGTCTCCGGCCGGGCCCTGCTGCTCATCGGTCCGTGGAGCATCCTCAAGTGCTCGATCATGGCCTGGCAGGGGTGTATGGAAGCAGTTTTCCGGCCTATACACCCACCTGTGTTACTCCGCAGCCCAGTTTTTCCATATTAACCTTCCGTCATTTTGTACATCCGCCATTTTGAGGTTCGGGTCTATTCACTTTTGTTTGAAGGCCAAGATCGCCCTTTGTTTGTCCACCTGGCCCGGGGATGCTGCCACTGTTTTCACCAGCTTCCTACTTGCCTTTGTCAGGTTCTGTCGGATGACCTCGAGCAATTCTTCTTTAGCCTGGTGCAGGTCAGAAGTGTATTCCTTGTGCTCTGCCGAGCAGCGCATTCGCCATATAACCATGAGGAGGGCAAGCCTCATGTGTTTGAACAGGTTCGCCTGGAAGGGCGACCAGAGTCGAGGAAAGCTTTTTCTTTTTCCCCACAGGATGAGAGGTATGTTCCATTGGAAGGGCGATGTCGTGAGTTCGTGCCACATCGCATCCCACCACTGCCACACTGGACCGCCATCGGGCAGGCCAACAGACAATGTTCCAGGTCTGCACGTCTGGCTGGCGCACCTTCCCCACATTGGGAGCAGACAGGGGACATTTAAAAAAAAAAAAAAAAAAAAAAAAAAAGGCTCCATCTATTGGTGGGGAGCTGCACCTGCTGGAAATCGGGTCCAACATCCCTTATACATCAATTTTCTTTTTTGGCTGCAAACCGGGTGCAGCGTCCCACAAAAAAATTTGAAGGATGGGCCTGATAAGCCCTTTTGTGCCTCTTCACCCACTCTGGGCGCCAGAATTTGTGAGTACCTAGCACAATCCGCAATACTTTGATAGAATTATCCATACCATGATGATGGGACCAAACAGGATCCTGGTAGAGGAAAGGGATCAGGAAATTCAGACAAGGGTCTTAGGGGAATAGAAGGATCAACACAACTCCAATCATTAAAGATTAGTCTATAATTCTTTTGAACACAGCCATGTAAATTCTCATGGGACATGACTTCCGCTTGTTCCAATTTTGTGCGTGTTGTTATCCAGTCAGGCGTCGGTAGACAGCGGTGTGTTATCTGCCATTGCAGGGCCCTGTGCGATGTCAGCATTATTTGTGTGTGGGCTGACCATGGGATGTGTTGCAACTCTGCCTCTTGCAGTGACGAGTCCCGTTTCCATCTGTTTCTTTCGTGGTTTTGAAAAGGAGGACGCCCCTAGCAGTAAATTGGATTCCATTGGGATAACAGTTACATGTGTATAGTACTGAATACCATTCAGCTACATGGCTCCCTGACATGTTTGAACTCAGAAGCTTTGGGGCGGCCAGCCTGTCAGTAAATTGCTAAGGAGTTAAAAACACGCAATACCTTGAGAAAATAGCAGTTAGCAGCGACGGCTGGTTTGACCCAAGTGCGACGTCGCCGGACGGCGGCGGGTCCTGGGGTTAGACCGCTGGGTGGAAGAGTTGACTTTGATCCGCCGGTAGGCGGCAGCCATAGCAGGTAGAGGGAGCAACTCCCCACGGGCAGCCAGTGCAGTGAGGAAGGACGGACAAGAAGTGGAAAGCAGCATCGTCGGAGAGGAACGAATGACCTGAGCATAGTCATCTTCGCGGGCGACCCGGAATATCGTGGAAGAAGAAAGAGGCAAATTTTTTCAAGACAACACGAGGAGGACAAGGGACAACGGGTAGTGGGGTGAAAAGCAGCACAAGCGGGTGGAGGAGGACAGGTGGGCGGAGGAGGATACGGGCAGACCACTGGAGAGAAAAGGAAAAGGAAGGAAAAGAGGCATTCTCTAAGAGGAGCAAGAAACCCAAGCTGGAGGGGCGCCAGCCTGGAAGTTTTTGTAATCTTTCCTCGGGGACGTGTAGACAAGCAGGGGTGAAGGTACGCACGCGGACAACCACAGGTGTGAAGGTACGCAAACATTCCCAGACACTTTCTCTCCATCCCCCCCTGATTCCCTTTCCCGAGTGCCAATCCATGAAGAATTCGATGATCAATATTGTGTAGCACAACAGGACGCATAAAATTGTACGGACACGTGTATGCATGAGAGAACGGGGTGAGCCTCTTAAGAACAGTAATTGAATGAGGGCGAGTATTTACCCAAAGTAGTAAGCAACCCGAAGGCACGTGTCATACGGCCATGGTGGAGGCAATCTCCCTTGCTTGTTAACCTATTTGACCATGACAGACCAAGATGAGCTGCTCCTGCCAGAGCCCGGGACCAGGCCCGGGGGAACGCAATAGAGGAAGAAAAGGAACATGAGGCTTGACTCGATGATCTTCTATAAGGGTGCCATGCGTCAAATCATGGCTTCTCATTTGCGAGCCGCCTCTAAACGAGAGTCACTAAGAAGGAGGCGACCATTTCAGGGATGGATCACCTACCTCCCCCCGGTTATGTGGCACTGTCGGTCGCGGCCGAGTTTGCGTGCGGCAGCGCCAGGCCCAGGCAGGGGCGCGAGCGGGAAAACGGCATGAGCGCGCGGCCTGCGCACGTCGGCCGTTATCGCCCTGTAAAGAAAAAACAAAACAAAACAAAAATTTAGGGGGGGTGGTTTTTGGTGTGTGACAAAAAAAATTAAAAAAATAGAAAAAAAAATAAATATTGATTGATTGATTGTTTTTTTTATTAATTGATTGATTGATTGATTGATTGATTGATTGATTGATTGATTGATTGATTGACTGATTGATTGATCGATTGATTGGTGGGGGAGGGGTCCTCCCTCCCCTCCCCCTGGCACACGCGCGC